CGTACGTACGGGATCCAAGAACCAAACTTGAGTACCTACTCGTTTGGGGGTACCACCCACCCAACAGTGAACACTACGCTGTCGGTTTTTGGTTGGCCTTAAGTGAAGGTAAGTTTAAGATTTCCAAAACCCTTTTATCTTAAACTAGGCCTAGCTTAAGGATTATTAGGAGTACTCTGTATACTGGAATATAGTTTAATTAGTTAAACTAGAATTCATTTAAGGGTTACAAATATTAAAATGATTGGCCTTAGACTAAGAATAGTTTAAGGATAATGTTGAATGACAAATGAAGAACATACATGTTGAACGATTGAATAATGAATGTTGAAAATTTGAATATTGATTATTGAATATCTGAACTGAACATTATGTGCGTGATATCAAATGATTTGATTGTGAATTGAGATACAATTTATATGGATGTTCGACGCATTAGATATGCTTACTCAGCTTTACCGCTGAGCGTGTAGTATGTTTTATTTGCTACACGCAGGTTAATAGAAAGAATGATGTGACGTGATCCTGGAGGCGGACGGAGGCGAGACTGTCGGAATGGATGTGATGTTTTGAATTAAAGAACATAAATAAATTATGTTTGTAATTATGATTTGTTAAGCTTCCGCAATATTGAAAACTCCGTACTGTTTATGATATGAAAAATATTGTTGTGATAAATAAAAGTGTTTGAAATGTTTTAAATTTTTACGATTACCAAGTTAATACTTTAGTCCGAAAGGGGCTGCAGACCCGGACGGATTAGGGTGTTACACCGTTGGACCCTCCATATCGGGTTTTCAAATCCAACCACAATTCGTGAGCCACTTTGTGAGAAATAATCGACGGTTGGATGTGTTCATCAATGCTATTACATATCCAAGAACAAATGATAGAGTTATTAGCCTTCCATGCCGCAAGCTCTTGTTCATCGGTTGGCTTGGGAAAACCCGTGGGGGTTAGAAATCCCATGCGGCTCTGCCCTTCCAGGGCATTAACAATCATCTTCTCCTATACATCATAATTGTCCCCTTTGAGCAAATGCTTTGTCAAGGAATTACCGGCACATTTGGATGGATGAATATAATATAGAGATGTGGGATCATGAATCAACCTGACTTTCTTGGAGGTTTCGGTGGTCATGTTGTGCAACGAGGAGAGAGAGACCAGCTGCTGCAAAAACTGAGCACGGCAAGGCTACCTTGCCGAGAAGGGCTCCGACGTGAGTCGAAGTGAACACCGACGTGAGGTGGTGTGTAAAGGCCGACGAGAGGCGGCGTAGGAACGGCGGCTGCACCGTGTGAACGGAGGCGCAGCTAGGGTTTACGTTCCTAGGGTTTTTGGTTATGCCCGGGAATTGGCTCTGATACCATGTAGAAATCTGTAAAACCTTTTCTCTGTTATTTACGTAAACTCAGTCGTACATATATACTACAAATACGGGATATGTCTAATGCTATGCTAGTGGGCCTCGGCCCGTTACAACACAAGCTACAAAATATACACATGCTAATAGATTTATTCGAATAGTTTTCAACTTATTCGAATAGTTTGCTGAAAAAAATGTGTTTTAAAGGTAGGTTGATAAGGGAATGAACCTTAGAGATGTCATACTCTTTAACACAAAATCTAAGACCTAAAACACTACCCAACTAAGGAAACAACCTCTTCGGTCTCGTTCTTTCCACCGATGCTCAAGTCCCTTCTTCACAGACGGATATGAACTTGTAGCTTTGATTCTTAGCCTTGATGCAGAATATGATGATGATGTTTTGTCACCCTTTTGTCATTATCAAAACCTAAAAGACAATGGACAAAGGACATTGCAAATCTATATATTCATGATAGCACATTGTCCAACACAATACTCATTCTCAAATAAGGAAATATTCATTCTGAAATAAAGTATTGTTCAATTTTTTCACAATTAAAAAGTTCAGTACCATCATCAACTTCTTCCTCTATTCGATTCGTTCATACTCATTTATACTCTCTGAGCATGAAGATTTAAAACTCAGGTTTATTCATGTTTGTATTGAATAAGAATATGATAATTCTCATAAGTGCTGATACTCATTGTCATATATAATAGTTCTCATATATGTTCTGGACATTGGATAAAAAGTTTGCAAAATTTACAAAAATACCAGGCTGTACCTAAAGGAAGGTACAGCTGGATGTACCATATAATTTGCCGATAAAGAAAGTCATCTGATGTTATGGGATACTTATCTACGATGAATGAAGATCAGATATACGATGAAATAATAAAAATTGTGACAACTGAAAATGAAGGTTTCTTTTTGTATATGGTTGTAGTGAAACTAGAAAAATATTTTTATGGAAATCACTTTGTGCTTCTTTGAAGCCAAATGGTAAGGTTGACTTGAATGTCGATCCAGTGGCATTGCAACATTACTTTTTCCTGGGGGAAGGATAACACACTCGAGATTCTCAATCCTTCTAGCATTAACCAAGTGCTCAACGTGTGTCATCAAACAATGAAGCCTGAAAGTAGAACTAATCCAATAAGTAAGTCTAATCATATGAGATGATGTATGTATAATGAATAGATTTGCTTTTGAGGCATTGGATTGCACAATGAGAGATGTAATGAGTTTCTCAAATAAAAACTCCAGAAACGAACCATTCGAAGTGAAAAGAGTTATACTGGAGGCAAGTTTTAGGAAATTCTTCCTGTTTTACCCAGAGTTTCAAGAGAGAAAATTGTAACTACTACCATCAATTCTTCAAAATTATGGTCGCATAGTAAACGTTATACGTTGAATAATAATATGAGATTGTATTCATCGACGTCCTCTTGTGCAGACAGGGAAACACGTGCCTTTTTTAATTGGATAACCAAAGTTGGAGATAGAAAACTTGGACAAGTGATCGATGGAATTATACACGTTGATATTCCGTTTGAATTGTCCATTCTAGACACAAGTTAACCCCTCAAAAGTATACTCGATTTCACTTATCTAAACTTATTTGATACTATGAAAAGTTATTCTTTTTTTTGAGGATAGGGCACTACTGACACTCATGTTTGAGGTATAGAAATGGTAAATGAATGTCATATCTCTCATTCCCGAAGATGAAATGGTCTATTCGAGTTCTGATTCTTCATGCCAGGGAGGTTCAGATGTAGGTGTTGATGACGATTGGATAACAATTGAGTTTTTGAATAAATCAAATGTTCGATGATCCCAAACCACAAAAATAATTTTTAAAAAGGGGGTACCAATTATATTATTGGGGAACATTGACTAAACATGATTATGTAATGGTACAAGATTAAACGTTGAAGAGCTGCGAAAGAGCGTTATCGATGCTTTTATGGTTTTGAGAAATTGAGTCGGGAAAAAAGTTTACATACCTTAGATTAATTTGGTACAATCTGATCTATTACACCTGAAGTTCTAAAGAAAATAATTCCTAATAGTCTTATGTTTTGCAATGACTATCAATAAAAGTCAATGTCAAACATTATCATTTGTTGGATTATTTTTAACAAATTCGTTTTTCATTAATGGTTAGCTCTATTTTGTTGTTTCAAATACCAAGAAAAAGATAGGATTAAAAATATTGGTTTTAAATGACGATTTAGACTATTGCAACCATACCAATATGTTGTATACCCTAAAATGATAAAATTTATCAGAAAATTTGGTATTAAAAAACTTTGATGAGTACACAATCAATTTCTCAAATACTATTTATTCTACTTTGGCATTTTTGTCAATAGTATTAAAAATGATGTCGGAATTATATATTTTTCTATCAAAAAAATATTGGACCATGCTACATTTACACCAAAAAATGTACACCATTTGTACACCATACTTATGCACAAACATTTTGACGGTTTACACCGACACAAGTGTTGTTGCGTTAACAAAAATTTACACGGACACAAAGTGTTGGTGCGTTAACAAAAATTAGTTTTACACCAACACAAAATGTTGGTGCAAATTTATGGGGTACAAATTGGGGTATAAGTGTTGGGGTACACATAGCTTAATCCTAGTTGTAATCCAAAAAAACAAGGAAAAATTGATATAAATACTCCCATAAATTTGAAATTTTATAATAATACTCCCAAAATTAATTAAGGACTCTGGTGCTCCCAATTAAATTATAGGTTTACGTCACTACTCCCATTAAGCCTTATAAGCTTTTCCTACGCTTACATGTAATTAATTAAGCTAAGTTGGCATCTTAAGTGTTTTTTTGTTTTCATAAGAGGAAAAATTTATAGAGATACTCATAGAAATTCAAAATTTTACAATAATACTCTCAAAATCAAATAAAGACTCCAGTTCTCCCAAAAGTATATTCTCGTTGCACGTTACGATATTTGACTGAAATTAGTTTTAAAGTATTTTATATGAAAAAAGGTGTGAAATTAAAAAATAAAAATTACATATCAAAAAATTAATATAGTAATATGTAAAAATAATTTTTTTAGTAATATTACAGATTAATTAATTGAGCCTAATTGGCATCGTAGTTATTTTTTTTATATTTTAATACAAAATACCCCCACCGTCCAAAAATTATCTTCTCATTCACTGTTAAGAGTATTAACAAGATCAAATTTTATTTACTTTGCTTACCTATTTTAATTATATACTTGATAAAATAATATAATTATATCATTACTAGTTTTATAAATCTTATGATGTACTTTTTAGATTTATAATTTTATTTTTTGGTTTCACACCTCTTTTATGAAACATCGTAACACGTAAAAGGAAAATATTTTTTTAGAGTACTAGAGTCTTTATTTGGTTTTGAGAGTATTATTGTAAAATTTTGAATTTCAGGGAGTATTTATATAATTTTTTCCTGTTATTAAAACAAAAAAACAACTAAGATGTCAACTAAGCATAATTACTTACATGTACGCGTAAGAAAAGCTGATTGGGCATAATGGGAGTAGTGATGTAAACTTATAGTTTAATTGGGAGCACCAGAGTCTTTTATTAAATTAGGGAGTATTATTGTAAAATTCTGAATTTCTGGGAGTATTTATATCAATTTTTCCAAAAAACAAAGTTATGTCTGTTATAAAATGAGAGAAAAACTACTCAGAGATTATGAGAATAGATCTAATATATTTCTGATTTCTTCTCTCTATTAATTCTTCACTCTTCTTCTTATTCTTAATTGTAATTTACAAGGATCCTAAGCCTCTTATTTATAGTAGAGAGGCTTAGTGCTAACACTATTACAAATAGTATACATACTATACAAATGGCAACTTGATGGTGATGAATGATGATGGACAATTTGTTCTTGCAACTTATAATGGAGCATGACCTATTTAATTGATAAATGAACAATTCATATTTTTCTTAACACTCCCCCTTGAATGTTCATTTTTCAATTGATGATGGGTATTCGTGAAATAGGTATAGTTTAGAAACCCATTCTAATTTTATGTACTGCCTCGTTAAAAACCTTGTCAGGAAAAACCCAGTGGGATAAAAACCTGATCAAGGGAAAAAGAGTACAGTTCATAAAATTCTCCCCCTCAGCTTAGCATAATTGACAGAGACGACGCATGCCAATCTTGTGTACGAGTTCTTCAAATTTCTTTGGGGGCAATGCTTTTGTAAATAGATCAGCAGGGTTCTCGCTCGACTTGATTTGCTTGATGTCAACCTTTCCATCTTTCTCGAGATCATGTGTTGAGAAGAACTTTGGTGATATATGTTTTGTTCGGTCTCCTTTGATGTAACCTCCTTTCACTTGAGCAATGCATGCAGTGTTGTCTTCATATATAGGAGTTGGATGACTAGTAATTGTTTCTATACCTCACTCGCTCTGGATATGTTGGATCATTGATCGCAACCATACACATTCTCTACCTGTTTCGTAGAGAGTTATCAACTCTGCGTGATTTGATGATGTGGCAGTCAAAGTTTGTTTCATCGATCTCCATGATATTGCGGTATCTCCATAAGTAAACACATATCCTGTTTGAGATTTTGCTTTTTGCGGATCAGACAAATATCCTGCATCAGCGTATCTAACAAGAGTGGCCTTGGCATCTTTGCAGTAGAATAAACCAAGGTCGATGGTACCATTGAGATATCGAAAAATGTGTTTAATGCCATTCTAATGCCTCCTAGTCGGGGTCGAGCTGTGTCTGGCTAACAAGTTCACTGAGAATGCAATATCTGGTCGAGTGTTGTTTACATCAAAGCTCCAATAGCACTCAAGTATGGTATTTCTGGACCGAGTATTTCTTCATCATCTTCACGAGGTCGGAATGGATCATCGTGTACATTGAGAGAGCGAACAACCATCGGGGATGTGAGAGGATGTGCTTTATCCATATAAAACCACTTTAGAACCTTCTTCGTGTAATTTGACTGGTGGATGAATATTCCGTATTTCAAATGGTCAATTTGAAGACCAAGACAGAATTTTGTTCTCCCAAGATCTTTCATCTCAAATTCTTTCATGAGATATTTTGCAGTATTTTCTATTTCATCAGAAGTTCCAATGATATTTAAATCATCAACATATACTGCAATAATGGCAAAGCCTGATTTAGATCTTTGGATGAAAACACATAGACTAATTGGATCATTTTTGTATCCTTCTCTGAGCAGATATTCACTAAGACGATTATACCACATTCTGCCAGATTGTTTTAGTCCATATAGTGACTTTTCCAATTTTCTAGAAAACATCTTTTGAGGTTTTGAACTATAAACCTTAGGCATCTTTAGCCCTCCAGGAACTTTCATATATATGTCAGTATCGAGAGATCCATATAAATATGCTGTCACTACATCCATTAAACGCATTTGAAGTTTTTCAAAGACAGACATGCCTATCAAAAATCTCAATGTAATTGCATCAACTACTGGGGAATAAGTTTCTTCATAATCTATCCCCGG